GTTTCTTCACAGAGCACTTTGATTTGCTCCTTTGGGAGCAGTGTTTCAGAGAGGGTAACAAACAGTCATCAAAAAGTCCACGTTTAATTCTCAAGTTTCTACTCGCATACATATTTAAAATCTAAACTACTAATTAATCGTTTTACTGCCAGCTATTGGTTGAGAAAGGCGATGATGATTTCGATCAGTCACCTACGACGAACTATTGCTTTGAGCTTGCTGATTTTTTTCATCAGTGAAACAACGGGATATCCCTCGGGAATTGAAATTATAAATGCATCATTTTGTGGTGAGTGTCTCTCTTTTGATTTATTTTCAATCCTCTTTCAAAGATATTCCGCCTACAAAAGCTGCTCAGCAATTATAACAAAATGTTAATAGAAATCGAGTGGCAAATAAAAAAAATGATAATTGTTCATAGGAGAAAAATAATGATTACTTTTCTTACTTACAACTACCTTGAAAGTGAAGACAGGTACATTTGGCTAAGCGTGGATGAGATTTTAGATGTGAAATTCATGCCATTCATGAGGTGATAAATGAATAAAGAAAAACTGAGCGTTACAAGGAAAATTCTCCTCTCTTGATTAATCGACTACTTTTAAGGCCTTTAAGGATCTTTCCAATTTCAATTTTTCTGTATGTATTCATTATTCCCGATTTCCGATTCCCTGGTTTTATAATTCATTCTCCATTCTTAATCTTTTATTCTCGATTCAAAATAATTTCCGTTTCCCTTTTCATCGCCCCCCGCCTATTTTAATAAAACCGGCTGCGGATAAGACCATTTTTTGAAAAGTCAAAACTTTTTCTCGACAAAATGTAAAGAACCTGGCCATCGTAATGTTCTATACATTACTGTTTCAAAGCTTTTCGTGGGCCAGGAAATGTTAACGTTAGAAAGATGGGAACTGAAAGATAAGTCATTATTTATTGCTTGTTGGGAGGTTGGGTAGTGTGTACCTGATCCCCCTTAAGGCTCTGTAGTATTCTTATCATCTCTTCTCATTAGCAATTCTCTACAGTCCCCCCTTTATATGCCTTTAGCGACGACTGATCCCCCGTCCCCTCCCGTGTGATCCTGCCTAAAAACCTTCCACCCCAGGCCCAAAAGTATGGAGAAATAAGAATCACATCAGCCATTGACTAACTAGTGACTGATCTGCAAACTGTGTCTTTTTTTTCTTTTTCTAGAAACCATTAAGGATTATATGTTTATGTACAAAGTTAAATTCCCAGAGCGTCAAAATAGCATTGAAACTCAGGTCTATTGTTGCATTCTTTTTTAGGAAAGTATGATAAGCCTCCAACGTTTAAAATTTCTCATTGGCCTTTCATTCCCACTGGTGTTCTTGTCAATTTTAGTGTAACATTTACACCAGGTAAGTTGATGTCAATTGGACATGGAGGTGTTATTATATTTATTGTCTTTTTTTTAATGAAAAACTATATTGGAAAAACTATATTGTAAAAACTGGGAAGGAGGAGAGGCTTATGAAATTCCAAGGCTTCCAGACGGGGGTTAATCAGAGGAGAAGCTTTTCAGAGGTGGGGAGGGGGTAGGGGATGCACAACTGATATAGCCCATATTCTATGACTTCCTTTATTACACAAGGTTATTCTTGTCTCTTTCTTACTGATACTTGCTTCTAGTAGTGGTGGATGTTCTTGAAGCGATAGTGCAATACGAGTTGGTCTCAGACGGCAAAGTTATCGTCAGGGACAGGGACGACGGTGTTTGCATTTCTTCCCCAGATCTGTGCAGCTTACCTGCTGGTGGTAAGTTTCCAAAAGGAGTTAAAAAAAAAACAAAAACAAAAACAAAGCAAAAACAAAACAAAACGAAACGAAACGAAACGAAACGAAACGAAACGAAACGAAACGAAACGAAACAAAACAAACAAAACAAACCAAAAAAAAACAAAACAAAGCAAAACAAAACAAAAACAAAACAGAAACAAAAACGGGTAAAAGGGTTAAAAAAAATTTTTTGCACACATAAGTCATCTTACATTTTCAAACCTTTCGAAAGCTTACCGAGTATTCCGCTCAACGGATTGTATCGAAATAAGAAATCCTGCCCTTTAAAAAATTCCAGACCAAACTCAAGGAAGCTTTTTCCATCAACTGGGAAAAACCCAATAATCAATTCAATCAAAGTCTATCATACCAATCTCACATTTTCGCGTTAATAATTGTTTATATTACATAGGTTCCTTTTCTCCTATATCTCTGTGATCGTAGTCATGCATATCTGTCGAGATTAGAGTAAATTTAAATAGCTTCTTTTTCCAAATAATTTTTTAACCAAAGAAGGTGCGAGCTGAGACACATCGAGACGTGTTTGAAAAATCAAAAAATGTCTATTATCTCTCCGAATTGCATTCTTGACGATCTCGAACACGTAGCTTCGAATGCCAAAAAGAAAAAAAAAACAGACAACAACAACAAACAAACAAACAAAAAGAAAAAATAAATAGCGTTAAAGTATTCAGGCAATCTATTATCATTGATTATTTATCGATCTTATATATTGCTCTTGGCGGTGTCTCTCATTTTGACTGACCTTGCCTGATTTTTGTTATTATTATTATTTTTGTCTTCTAGAAACCAAAGTGTGGGTTAGATCTGAAAAATTTCCGTCCATTCCTCCATTTTTCAAGGTAATCAATCAATTAACGCAGCCCTGTCAGCTCACGGGTTTCAGTGCTTTTGATTCCTATCTGATTGCTCTGACGTTATTGTAGTCTTTTCTCCCTTCCTAGATTTGTTCCGGTTTGTTACGCATAATGATGCGCCTACACATTTTCAATGAAATTGAAGCCGAACTCTCTTGTAGGCACTCATTCTATTGGCTCCAAAATCAGCTCTTTTAAGGTTTTAAAATTCGTTAGCTACCAACCAGGCCTAAAGATATCCCGATACATTGGTTCTATAAACTGAATCAAAACTGAAAATCAGCCCTTGTGAAGAGTTTCTTAAGCTGACATTTCAAGCGTCAGCCTCTCTCTCTGAGTAAGGACTAACGCTTAAAACATCAGCTTTGAAAACTCGTTACGGTGGCCAGTTTACATTATCAAATTAAATCTCCTGATAAACCCTCATTATCCTTCTACGTTAATTTAGACATTCTGCTTTCACTCTATTCTTCAATCTATTATAGAATCGAACCTATAAGGGAAGAGTTCAACTTTTCAATAAAAACAACATAATGTTTCTCTGTGGTGAAGTTGTTGGGAAGGTACGCTAGAAGACGAACACGAGTTAAGACTCAATAGAAAGACGAGAAGCATGAGGGAAAGTAATTCGCTTAAGCAGGAGAATACATTAAAAGAGTTGTACGCGTCTTGCAACCCCTGAGATTGTAAAACAAGGTTTCAAAATCTAACGTCAATCATTAACGATAACTCCACTTAGTAATTTTGAGTAAACTCATGGATTAAATTTTTGAGGTGAGGGAATCGAAACAGCGTGGAATCTAAAACAGGCAGCAAAAACAGGTAACAATCAAGAGAGCGGATCAATTCGCGTGAAAAAATGGTAAACTATAGCAGAAGTTACTTAGATGGTGCTCCGCACATGGTGCTCCCTTGGAAAGTCCGACAGTTTAAACAGAGATGTAGATAGAAATACGAGAGCAATTATCTGAGTGTTTTAGTAATTTGTTCTGGTGAGTTGCATATCGTATTTAATACCAAGCCATTGACCGAAAAAACTTCTTGAAATATCAGTTATCACTGAGAAGTTTCTTGCGCAAAAGCAAATCACAAAACCAAAATTCTACTTATCTTTCCTGCCTGTGCTTTTGTTTATCTAATACTCAGCTGCCTTTATTTTTTTCTTCTCAGTAAATAATACTTTTATAGTTCACTATGTCCCGAATTTCAAAGAAAAAAGGAACCTTTCGTGACAAAACATCATCCATATTCGCTGCATACGGGCGTTTGTTGCTGATAAAATAAAAGGGGAAGGCTCTGTGCATTTGAGTGCTTTTTTAAGCTCTAAATGATGTTATTTCAATCTTAAAAACCTGGAACAAAAGGAATAAAGCGAGTTGCACTACAGGGCTCAGTATAAAAGAAAACTTTAAATTCATCGATCATTAACGCTTAGACGAAAATCCTGTTCACTGCTTTTGTGTTGTAAGTAGGAGCACGACTGTCCCTCAAGAACAAGTGGTTGGAGTTTAAATAAGGATAGAAATCATCCAGAACTTAGTTTGCTTACT